TTTCATATTCGTCCACTGGAAGATAATAGGTTTTTACCTCTTCTAAAGATTCTTCTGCATCATCATCAACAATCTCCCATGCTTGACCGATGCCATCTGTTGCATCTAGAACACAGTCAAGCGTGTTATCAAGCTCATTGTCACTTATGTCCATATCGATGTCCATATCAATGTCTTCGTCAATATCAAAAATATCATTGATATTGGGCAAAATTGACATAGTGAACGAAAACAAAAATACAAAATATAGAATGTTTACAAGCGATTTTATTTCAATAATTTAATACAAAATACAATCGGTTTTTTTTTATTTGACAATAGATATTTAATTTTGATAAAAATTATTTAATATATCGTGTAGAATTTAAGAGTTTCTAAAAACAAAGCACCCAAAACGCTTTAAGCAATCGTGAAGAGTTGCTAAATAGTCGCTAAATTAAAGAGAATTGACAAACGTTAGTATTAAAATTCGAAAAAAATTTTAATAATGTAATTATTACGAAAATAAATTAAATTCGTAACGATGGTGCGGCGCATAACAATGATTATCCAATGATTGTATTCAACCAATGGGAACTTGGGGGGGAAATTAGTAAACCCGATTTTATAATGTTAGTTATTGTAATCACATATATGATTTATCATGATGGGTGAAGTAATTTCCTTTAATATATAATATAATAAATAACTCTATAAATAACTTCTTGATTATAAGAATCACCGGTTTATTATATAGAGCTAAATGTATACATCATTTCAAATAAAGCACATGAAAAACAATAGTGAAAAATATAAGCAAATATTACATGTTTTAAGCTATAATTAAAGAAATATTGAGATATCAAAATGATTTGAATAACGATAAGAAACTCTTTGATTGGATATTGGGATTGTCTAGTAAGATTTTGATACAAAATTGTAAAACAAAATTTTAACAAAATGAGTATACGACAGTAGATTATTTATTCTTAACCTGAATAAACGACTAGATAGCGTGGTAGAATGGCCTGCAATATAAATATTATATTAATATTTAACTTATCGATATTCTATATGATCCAAGTTCACTTAGAAAAATATACTAATAAAAGGCATTAACAAACCTCTGCATAGCCAACGTTATACTCGCTATCTGAAGAATATGATGCCCCAACGACATCAATTATGAACATGGCTCTTGACGAGTCTATTCCAACATTGGTATACCCATGAGAGTACCATGCGTCGGGTGAAAACCAAACGCGACCTATTGTTTTTTAAAACGTTAATATTTAATCAAAAATTCATAAAAAAAAAAGAATTATTATACTATTAACCATTTTTCAATCTAAATCCGGTGCGGATTATGTTACATACGCAGCAAGCTTCGTTTGCACAAATTTTTGAATTATTTAAATTTTTTAAATCGCAAATGTGTTTTGTGCCATGAAAATATTGTACACAACCACGATGTAAGTTATTTTTTTTATATGCTTCATGATTTTGGTTAATGTGTTTTGGCATTTCTACACGAATAATAGAATGTACTTGTATATTGAATTTTGATGCCATTTTTGTGGTAAAGTTTTGTTTCACTTTAAGGTACTCGCTTGAACTAGAATTTAAAGGAGTTATTACTTCCATCTTAAAGAACAAATAGAGTATCTTTCTTGAGATCAATAGAAAAACGCTTTATTTAAATCTTTTAATTTTTTAATTAAAATTCTATTTTCTTAATTCAAGATTAACTTTTTTCGATCTATATTATTAGATGTTAGGATGAGTTACGTTTCATATTCATCGTCACCTTGATTGCAAAAATTCTGTTTGTATTTACGCGATCCATTTAAAATTACTATGACTGGATTAAAAATGCATAATAATAGTTTATAATTCTCCTTTAATTACTTGCACGGTCACATTTTCTAAACTATCGTGAAAAACTAACTTCATCAAAGTCTAGTATATAGTCCGTAATTTGCATGTTTTTAACACGTAAACAATGCTGTTGTAAGGTATGATAGGTATGATAGGTATGATATTGTTAAAGCTCATTTTAACAAAGAACCGTGGTTACTAAAAAGGCAAATCTTTATTTTGACTATTCAAAAAAAAGTAAAACATATTCATTTACCAAAATTTAGTACAATATCGAATTTATATAATTTTTAATAGTTAATTTCCAATTTTATATCCGAAGTATTATAGATGAATTTTTTTTCCTTCTTTTACATAGTCTATTAATTTAATTTGAAGCTACGTATTTACGTACACGCGTACATTATATCTACACAAACTACAATTATAATAGATCTCAAGAATATAACTTGTTAATATATTTTAATTTAAAAAGTGAGTTTATTAAATTTATAATCTGTATTTATTCTTTTTAAAGTATAACTTATTAATATATTTCAATTTGAAAAATGAGCTTATTCATATAAATTTGTTTTTAGGGATGTTAAACCAGCTAGTCACGTATAAATTGTATTGTAAAATTCAAAAGTGATCAGACTATTTAACATCCCTATTAGTTTTACATACTTTGAGACATCTCAAACTATTGATTACTAATATCGCATGGGTTATTTATTATTGCTGAAATCATGTGATGCTATTTATCACATAGTTTATGACGTCCCAAATAGTTTGGTTAATATCGCTAGTGCGCGCATTCTAGAGAAGTCTTTATTAAATTGTATGAAAAAAGGAATACGTAATTTAATACTTTTAACAAGAACTATTAAACTACACCTACATACTTATTTATTGGTTAAAAAGTTACAATAGTCTATTTTTAAACGTAAAAATATTATATGAAAGTATTGGACCTCAAAAACAATGTACAATCTTTACACATTTACAAATCACAATATGCAAGAGATGAAAATGAATTTTCTATCTGTAATGACTACAATGTATAATCCAATGTCCAAACCAAAAAAAAAAAAAAAACAATAAGAAATAAATAAATACAATTTTTCTAAGGCCATACGAATTTTAATGTCTTGGTTTTCATTTTCGAATGGACCCGGCTGGGCAGCTTTTTATTTAAATTCCATATATAAAATTTTGTTAAAAAGCTCACCAATATAAAAAAAAATTTTTTTAAAGTTTCCTTATGAAAGCCAATTAATTTTACATAGTTTAATTGACAATGTTTTCGATTTGATTCTCATTGTCAATTTGTTCAAGCCCTATCTTCACGGCTTTTACAAAATCCTATAAAAAAATATATATGTATGAATTAATATTTGAAATAATTTTTTTTTTTTTTTTTATGAAAATTAAATAATAAATTACCACAATCACAGCATCTACACCAGCTCTTTTTTGTAGTTGTGCGTTAGCAACTTCATTATTTGATCCACCATAAGTAAAAAGTAACAATCCGGCTGCTTTAACTATTTTAGTCAGTCCTGGAGCCTCAATAATAGTATTACAATTAGCAACAATCCCTGACAAACCAGCAAATTTAGCAAACCTAATCGCTGCTTGTAAGGAATTACATCTTACATCACCCATATTGTAAGCTCCACACTCGGTAAGGAAAAATACCGAGTAAACGGGTTGTTTCCATGCAAGAATTGAACAAATTTCCGGATGAAATGTTGAAAAAATAATTTTACGTCCGGGTTGAGCATGCTCGTATACGCATTTAAGAATCGCATCACAAAAATCATTTAACTCTGTATAAAATGGCTGAAGTTTAAACTCTTCAGCCTCGACAATCATTGGGTATTTTACCTCAATATTAAACCCAATATTAACCGGAACTTTCTTGAAATTAAAACACAACCAAAAGAAATTAAACAAAAAAAAATAAATTTTAAACCAGTTAAGATTAAAATACAAATTGGGTACAAAAATAAAAAATTGTTTTAAATTACTTTGATTGTCTCTTCTAATGTAGCAAAAGGTGCCTGAATTGTACCAGCACCGTTTCCCTTCAGTTTTCCAACATTATTTTCATCAATTTTTCTATATTTCGCTTTGTTAAGTGAACTCATACTATTGGATCGTTTAAGCCTTCCGGATGAATTTGAATTAGGTATATTATCTGTAAAAGTATTTAAATCAACCTCATTCGTAACATTATTTAAATCAATCTCATTTGTAACATTATTTAAATAAGTTTCATTTGAATCATTATCTAAATTTCTCTCATTTTCTCGGGCTTTTATCTTAAGAAATTGGTTTAAAGTGACCGAATGTATCGGAATATCAAATCCCGTTTCCGTGATGTACCAGTCATGATAAATGACTGGTATTAAATCTTTTGTAACTTGGCAATCTATTTAAAAAAAAATTTTGCTTCATTTAATAGCTTTAAAATGGTTAAAAAAATTAATTAAATTAAAAAAAAAACATAATATACCGAATTCAACGAATTCGACCCAAGAGGCAGCCGTTACGAAACTTTGTACCGTATTTTCACCCATCTGTAACTTTGACCTTTCTTTAAAATTAAAATTTTCACCCATTCCACGATGACCAATTACTTTAGTACCCAACGATTCCCATGTGCACTTCTTTCTATTTTCTAAGTTGTTAAACTTGAAGGGCTTAACAACTAAATATTCAAATTGAATTTTACCAATAACATCCACACCTAATGACCCTATTATAGGAACTGTGACAGATCCAATAAGAGAAGTATAATTTGGTCCAGGATACGTTTTTACTGATGATAGTGCAGCAGTTCCACGACCTATTAATTGTCTTATAGAGCCATAAATTGGCATTATATCAAAAATTAATGTAACATCATTTAGGTCCTGCTCTCGCGCATAAAACATTATTGGGTCGATCGTGGTGTTATCCTTTATAGGAGGGTCGATTTCGGTGTTATCATTTTTGTCCTTTATAGGAAGGTCGATGGTAACCTTCTCTCCAGTGGCATTTATGGCCCAAATAACCAAAGAAACTGGTGAGGAATAACTTAGTTTATTATTAAATTTAATAGGAACTATGTCATCCTTACGAATGTCTGTTGTTCCAAGTGTAACAATTATCAACGACTGATCTTTGAGATATCTATTTTGATTTATCACTTCTGCAGAAGTTTCTTGTCGAGATATATTATCTTGAGGTGATACCATTATCTCATGATTAGTTGAAATGGAAGAAAGAATGGTTTGGTTCGAAGGACGTAAAATATTTTTCATGGTAAGATGACCGCGAAACACTGCGTGCATATGTGGAGTCCAACCAGAATAATCTACAATATTATGTATGGCTCCTGATTGTATCAATGCTTCAACTGTTTCCTTATGACCCTCGATCGCTTTTTAAAATGATATTTAACTTGTTAATATTTGACTTATTAAATTAGTTAATCAACCGAATTTACCTGCTAAAAATAATGGAGTCCATCCACTATATCTTTCCCTGATCTCCATATTAGCATTATATTCACTTATCAAAATTTTACAACACTCGGTGAAACCACCTCTGGACGCCAGGTGCAAAGGTGTTTCACCATCTTCATCTTGTATGTTTGGATTTGCATGGTGGTTTAACAATGATCTGGCCACTGAACAATGTCCAAATTTACACGATACCGCAAGTAGAGTTTGTGTAGTATTAGATGAATTCATTAATTTTGGCACTAAAGTAGTGTCTCGAACTATAAAATCATTTACAAATTAGAAAAATTAGAACATAAAATTCAACAACATATAATTTTCATAAAGTTTTAAGTATACAATTATAAATTTTAACTTCACTAAACGCTAATCACAGCAGTGTAAAAAGCTTTGAGAGTTATTACTTACCGTTACTGGGACTATCTACATCCCTAATTTGTCCAGTTTCCATGATGCAATCAATTATTTCAACTTTGTTGTTCAAGGTTGCATAGAATAATGGCGTATATCCATTATCATCAAACCACACATTATCGTTAAAAGCCATCTCTAATGAAAATTGCTCAACTCTCATTAAATACTCTAAGAGAGTTTTTGTTATTTGCACAAATCCTTTACTTGCAGCATAGTGCAATGGATTTTTACCATAAATATCTAGAGAAAAAACATGAGTATGTTCAGGAAGATGTTCAAGAATACAGGAAATGATTCTTGGATAATCTGATGAAGAAGAATTGTTTAAAGTAGGGGATGTAGCAGGCGATGTTGTGACATTTCCTCTTGGTAAAATACCACCATTAATTACTAACTTATGTATCAATGAACGCTTGTTAATGTCTTTTTCCTCAAGAATGTTTACACCTGACAATATTAGCTGCTTAATACAATTAAAGGCTTGATAATAACATGCTTTATAAAGTATTGATATCAAAACCTGAAATCATGGCAAAAATTAATAATGAATTAAAAAGACTAGTCAAGAACATATATATATATATACCTTTTGAACAACAGGATTAGCTTGATTAATCATTCTGTTATCAAAGTTTTCATCCATATTTTCCGTTCTGATATCTGATACCATTTCATCTATTAAATTACGGAGAGTACTATCATCATCATTTCTAATCGCATTCAGCAAAGCTGTATTATCTAAACTATGGTTTGGACTTGATAAATGATTATTATTATCTGCAATCTTGTGGTGCACCTCCCGTATCCATTGCTCAATTGATTCCAAGAGTTTGATCAATGCAGAACACGAAACGAGTGGAAGATCATTGATCTAATTTTAAAACTATATATTAGTTTGATTTGAAATAAAAGAATAAAGGAAACCTTCTACTATATATGCGTGGTAAAGATAACCCGATCTCTTACACTAACAGTTTGAATTATAATTATGTAAATTTACAATTTCCCCAAGTAAAGATTATTTTGAAACACAAACCTTTTCTAAATAATGATTTTTTTCCTCCTTTTTTAGCTTCTTATCAAATCTTTTATATGAAAATGGAAATTAAAACACATTATAAATCTTGACAAAAAAAAAAATATATATAATATAATAAATAAAAGCATTATTACTTTTTTAAAGTTTTATTTACTGCTTTTATATTCAAAGCAGCAAAGCGTAATAGATTATTTATTTCATCCTTTGTTTCTACCAAATTTAAAAAAAATTCATAACAAGCGTCTTGATCAAGATTTGGATTAATGTTTAAACTATTAACACCATTTGAATTGATTCCATTCAACGCATTATTATGAAAGCATTGATATTTTTCTGATAATTCTTTAAATTTATGCTCCATTTTGAGGCTCTGAATTGTAAAGAAGTCATTAGTTTTTTCGAGTTCGTAATCAAGAGCCGAAAAAAATTCTTGATTGATTGATATATCATTAATGATAATAATAATAATTATAATAATTAATAAATGATTCATGTTAAAATATTACAAAATTTGTGTGTATAACGATATGTAAATTAAAAGCTTACCTGTTTTACAGTCATCATACGTCTCATTTGACTGCAATTTTTTTAATTTCTTTATTATCCTTTTCAAATGCTTATAGGGTATGTAATGACTATTTCCAATAAATTTTGTAGTAAATAGTAATTAATGTATATATATATTATAAAACATAAAATTACATAAAAGATTTTAAAATTTCTTACACATTCCACTCCGGTATTTGATTTTGAAAAAATTGTTTACCATACTTCATAATTTTCTGATTGAATTTTTATTTTTTATTTTTTTCAAGGATTATTAAAATTTAAATATTCCACATTAATATGTTACGCATAATTGTTCCAGGCGTAACGGAAGACATTATTTGATATTTATTGAAAGTACAGTAGTACAAAAGTTTCGTAATGCATCATATTCACACACGCGTTTAGATTTGTACATTAATTTCACGTTTTTATAAGCATTATTTGATAGGCTTCAATTGCAAATCCTTACATTAACAAATTACTTTTGAAATGTTTCCATTTCCGTGTTACACTTACACGACATTCCTTTTTTCCTAAACTTGGAAATAAAGATAGGATTTCGGTTATCAAAATCCCCAATTGTTGCTGTTTTTAATTCTTATGACGAAATTATAAACAAATAAATTGAATATCTGGGTATTCATTATGCAACGGATAGACGGATCTAGTTAGAAGTTACAGTAAATGCATGATCAAAATGGCAATGAAACCCTGCGAAAATAGGAATCGTGATTGTACTGGGAATCACCTTAGGAATAACTGTAGTTTCTATCTGCTGAAGTAAGGTTAAATCATAGACATATTTTCCTTTATTATCTCAACGCCTTCCATTACTTGATTCGTTATGCCAAGGATATTGCTCTTTATGCTTTGTCCTTATTTGAAGTGGTTCTTCCCACGCCCGTATCCCTTATCTTAACGTTATCTCTTGATTTCCACGTGTTCATATCACACATGTCACGTGGTTGCTTTTCCTTTCGATCCTGTTATATCATCGTTTCGTAATCTTGTACTACATTGTATGTTTTTTCTTTCCCTTTTATGTGTTCAAAAATATCTGCTTTATAACCTCTTCTGTGGTGTAAAACTCCGGAGAATTCAAAATATAAAAATAGAATAATTTATACATAATATCATACTAAACCACATTTATATTTACCAGATAAAATTTGGAAATCAAAATCGTGTTCATATCAGATACATAATTTAATAATTAATACATGAGAATAGTTATTGATCCAATTACATAGTAAATTCTTTAATTTATGATAACGTATCATCAATAAATTACCAATAATAGCAATCGGATAATTGATTTAATTATGATGACTAAGAATGATTAAATTACGATTTTTTCAAAGTTTGTGCGGAAAGCACACAACTTGTGATTTTATGCGTGATGCACATAATAAACAATATATATAATTGAATCTATAGTGGTTTAAAAGGATCCAACCTAAAATTATTTGAATTTAAAGTTAGTTAAAAGAACAAATCCGTCTAAACCAAAAATTGGGGCAAAAAAAATCTAATTTTATGAAATATAAAAAAATCAAATCTAAAGTTGATTTAAAAAGATCAGTCTTAATTTAAAATTAGTTTAAAAAGCCTAATCTGAATTATTTGGATCTTAAATTAGATTAAAAAAAAGCAAATCTAAATTTAATTTTGGGTTTATTAAGTTAAAAAAAAAACTTTTAGCACAGGTCGGATTTACACAAATTCCCGTTTATTCGAATAAAGAATTAGTAAGTTCTACTTTTGCTACTAAATGTATCTTTTGCATTAAATTCGACGTGCCCTTCAACTACGGATGGGCAAATTGAAGATTTTTTGAATCTGCTGCACAAGCTGCGCAGCCTACACAGCATCAATTCCTTTAGGAGTGTAGAGATTTTTGCTCATTAGGTTTCGCGGTTATACAGTTGACTCTCTCTAAGTGCAACTCTTAATAAAATTTCTCTAAATGCAAGATTTTTTTTGGTCTCAAGTAATTTTCATCCAATCAAATGTGAGTTTTCTATTGGCCCCAAATAAGAACTGGTGTGGAACATCTTGGTAGATCAATTTTTTTTATTTAAAAGTACAATGTACTGTACGTAAAGTACGTATATACTATTTATGTGTATGCATATTTATTATATAATAGATTCAAATGTCACAACCTAATAGCGATTTTGATGTGAAAATAATCGTTGGAAATGAACCAAATGTTAAAGAATTCAATGCGCATTCTACAGTTTTAAATTCTTGCTCTCTTTATTTTGAAAGGGCATTATCAGAAAGATGGAGGGATCAAAACCATGGCATTTGTATTATTAGAATGCCAAATATTCATCCTACTATTTTTAAGTTAATTCTTGAGTAAGTTTTATAAGATTTGAAATATCTATCAACTAAGTGTTAATAATGTATTGCTTTGCTAATAATTTAATTTTTTTAAGCTATATTTACATCGGAAAAAATATATGTCAGATATCAGGCGAAGTTTCTTTAGATATACTAGTTGCATCTGATGAACTAGAGCTTCTTGATCTCGCTGAATGTGCTCAAAAACACTTAATTGATATGTTTTCTCCATGGTTATTCTCTAATATTGTAGCTTCACTCAATATTATTTGTCTCTACAGTCATTTTAGTAAATTATACAATCATATTCTAAATTATGTATTTAGAAATCCTTACTCTCTTTTTGATTCTACTGGTTATCGTTTATTAGATGAGGCTGCCTTGATTTGCCTTTTAGAAAATGACGATCTTGAGCTTGAGGAAATAGAAATTTGGGATTATTTGATTAAATGGGGTATTTCTAAACTTTCTGATGAAAATATTACAAATTGTTCTGTTAAAAATATCATAGAATGGTCTGATGACCATTTCAATATATTAAAAGATACCATTTCTAATTGTATTCCTTTAATTCGTTGTTATTACATTCCAAACCATTATATTGACAAGCAAATTAAACAATACCACTTGGATTCCACTGCATTTATTAAATTTGAAACCCCTCAAAGGAGATGTTCTAAATTAATTAACAATAAGAGTAAGGCTATAATCTCAAGCTGGATTGATAAAAAAGATCAAGATTTCTATGACTGTGTTACAAATCCTCATACATTTAAGCTTTTATTACGTGGAAGTAGAGATGGATTTGATGTTAATACATTTCATAAATTATGTGACTTTCAAGGTCCAACTATTGTGGTTCTTAAAACTGACATCGGTGAATTAATAGGTGGATATAATCCTGTAGATTGGAAAAGATTTGCTATTAAAGTTCATACTTTTATGTATCCTTTAGATGCAATTTTTCCTTCTTCTATTTATTCAGTACCATTTTTTGGATTCAAGCGGCATGCATATTTTAGTAAAACCTCAAGTAGTTTTATTTTTTCTATAACCGATCAATCAAATCCAGTATTGAGTAGGATAAAAAGTGAAAAACAATATGTAGCTATTATGAATGATAAATCGTTTGGTCCTTGCTTTGGAATATCAGATTTATGCATGATAAATTCAGGAAGTTGGTCTAGCAAGCGGGAAAACTATTAGCATAGAATAATTAGTTCATACATATTTCATTCTGATGAATATAAAGTGTGGGCTTTGAATAATTATAATCTAGTGATGAGTAGAATAATTAAAGGATTTATATTTTATTTTAAATTAATTATATTTAGTTGCATAGTTTTAATTTCTAATATTTTTGCATTGATTTATGCGATATTGTTAATTTTGTTTATGGTTTTATATTTATTTCTTGACTTAAATTTTATTGTATTTAGATTGTTGTTTAATTTTATTTTTTCAGATATATTTCTTATTATTATATTTACATTCCTTTTTTTTATTTCATTTTATTTTAAAAGTGAGGTTATTCCTTTATTTTTCATTGTCTTTTTTTTTAGTATTAAGTTGTATTTTTATTTGTAGTTTTAAGGTTAATAACTATATGAAGTTACTATGTATAAATAGAGATTTTATATAAATGCTATAGCTGAGGTTAACATTTGCAATTAAGATTAATTATTAAATTGTTTAGTAGAGTTTTGAGCTAAAGATAAACTAGTTCTAGCTATAGGTTCTGTTATAATTTATGTAAATGTTTTAATTAATGTAATAAAATTGTTTAATAAAGATCAAAGCCAAGTCTCACTTTTAAAAAAAAGTTAAAAAAAATAATATTTGACGATTACAAGCAAGTTGGTTAATAAAATCATTAAATAGGTCATTTTGATATGCAGTAACTTTGTAGAAAGTAAGTTTGATATTATAGAATTAATAAACTTAATAAGAGTTTGCCAAATAGAGAAGTATAAAGTATGATTATAAGAGAATTTAGATAATAATTAACAAATACTATAGTATTTAGAAATTACTAATTGTAAGTTAGTAAAGATGTAAATAAAGCAGTTTCTAGAAGCAGTAATAATTATTAAAAAATAGCAAAAATTTTAGTTTTAAAAGAACATAACCAGTATTTGACTTGTGCTTAAAATAAGTAAATAGTTGTAGAATTATTAACTTGAATCCAAACTATACTTATAGAATATTAAAAGATACTAATATTAATAACAGAACTATTAGTATAGAATAAAATAGTAATTAGATTATAATTAGAGTTAGTAATAGATTATAGACTATTAGTAAGTTGACATAATTAGAAGATATAAAATAGTTGTTTTAAATTAATAGTTAATAAAGAAGAAGATAAGATATATAAAAAATGTAAATATTAAAGAATATGCAATATTAAAAAAGTTGTTATATAGATTAAAAGTTTTGTTAAAATTAATATAACAAAGTAATTAGTAATCAGGTTTGTAGAAATAAAAATAGTATATTTGTTAGTAATTGTATAAGAATTAAGATAATATTTAGAGAATATTATAATAGTAAAAGAAGAAATAAGATAAAAATTAAAAAACTAAGATGTAATACTAATAAGTAATATTAATTTAACTATTTAGCTAGTTTATTTAGATTTTATTAATTTTATAAGTTTTATTAGTTTTAATATTTTATCTTTTGTAGTGAAGGACCAGGATTATGACGACCAGACCCAACGTACAGGGCAGGTTATGGGATCCTCCACAGCTGTGCAAGCCGAGCTTAAAACGGTGAGCGAATCTGTAGAAGACATTACAAATACTATCTCTACCTTCAATGCTTCAACCCCTACAGAGATAGACAAATGCTACAACAAATTTATAAAACACTACAACTTACCCCAAATATTGGAACCAGTCACACTTGACAACTTTATTCAACACTTACATAACAATCTCTATTCTAATTCAATAAAAATATCTATAAACCTTAACAAAACAGAAACACACATTTACTTAAA